GAGAATAATTCTTCCTAGAATTATAGCCTGGTCAATTTGGAAACACTACGCTGCTATTATGTTCGGAAATGAGGATATAAACTTACCTATTATCAAGAGGAACATCAAGCTGGACCTATCTAACTGGTGTTGGAAATTCAGAAAAAAGGGCTGGATGATTCAAGATAAGAACCTCACTGATCAAGGATTCCAATCTTTCGCCTTGGAAGGTAGCTTCATTCGAAAATGCGCAGGAATGGAGAAAGAGAAAGCACGGCCCTAGGATTTGCTGCCATTGGGCCTGCAATTAAAGATGACTGTCCCACATTTCATTCTTGAAATATGCCTTTTATTTTTCATGTCTTTAATTTCTACTTTCGGGGCAAGGTCTAGTCCTCCTCGAACGTGCGTTACTTTTGTATTTCTTTTTTGATCTCTTTTAATAATAAATATATATATATATATATATAAATATATATGTATGTATGTATGTATGTATGTATCTATATATATATATATATATAGAAGTTGGTTCAAGTGAGAATAGAATCTAATGAAAGAATTGGGAATAAATACACACCGTCTGATTTACATTTACAGATCTAAGATCATCACTTCCGCTGAGGGGCATAAAAGTGTTTCTAGATCTCCTTCCTTCTACAACCTTTACGATTCAACAACGGGACATCTTGCCACTTCCCCGATTTCTCTCACCAAATCTATTCTTCCCTTCCATCTTCCAGATTTCCGTTTCCTTTTAGGTATGGAATTTATTAAAATTACTCCCTCTATTATTTTCGGCGGAAGAAAGGGCAACCACAAATCGGGGATCAGTATACCAATAAGTCTTCATTGCAATCACGGAGCCCTCAGCCATGGACGCAGGTACAATCCGAGCAATTCAATTCTCTGGGTTCAGTATTATAATTTCTTGGAAAATATTTATACTCCCCATTCTGCACTCATATTATATGAAATGTCTGTCTAGTCTTCAATTTTAACTCCTCTCATTTTTGGACAATTTTTTCTTTTTTATGCTTAGGGGAAAATACCAATACATTTGTGGAAGAGAATGCAATAGATCTTTCCCCTCATCTCTTTTCCAAAGAAATGTGATTTTTTGATCCCAATATCTGCATCCTAGAATGCCCACTAGCTTCAAAGCCCAAAGTGAGTATGGTTTTGAGAAGCTTGAAGACGGAATTTCATTCTACAAGGGCCGTGTTTGGAAAACAGCATTTGGGATAGCTTTTGGCATCTTTGACTGACTTTGGCTTTTTTGACCAAGCGAACCGCCAAAACCATTGTTTGGCTAATGGCTTTTTCACTTGGCATTTTGATCCGAAAAGCCAAAATCTGAAATGCCAAGGTGAGTAGCATTTGGACTTGGCGGTTAGGAAAAATATTTTTTTTAAAATCATTTTTGTTGAAAGATATATTATATTTATAATTCATTAAAAATTTAAATAAAAGTTAAAAAAATTAAATATGAAAAAATAAAATGAAATTAAAAAAAATTATATTTATAATTCATTAAAAAATTTATATTTATAATTTATTATGAATTAAATGAAATTAAAATTTAATATTCCATATAGTAAAGATTTAATTTTTACATGTAAAAAAATGAAAAATAAATATCATGTCTATACACACACACACACACACACACAGACAGACATACATACATACAAACAAACATACATACATACATACATACATACATACATATATATATATATATAAATTTTTTTTTATTTTTTAAATTTTAAAAAAATATATTTATGAAATGATATTTAAAAAAATTTTAAAATAAAATATACCATAAATGGAGGGATATCCTTTTATGTAATTTTATTTACAAACAGCTAACTATAAACAGCTAAAGTTGCCAAACACTTAAAATTTAACTGCTAACAGAAACAGCCGGTCAAAACAGCTAACTCAATCAGCCATTCAAATAAGCTAACATAAACAGCCAACAGCCAATTGCCAACTGCTAGTATCCAAACAAGGCCAAGGACTACGCGTTGTTGGCAGGTTTTGACATCCGCTTGGGTACGTCTACAAAGGCTCCAGATGGTGTAAATGTATGGAAATATATTTTATGCAGTCATGAAGGTCATAAACACGCTGCTTAGTTGTTCAACAACGCTCCCAATAAGGCTGAGACCACCCCAAATGGTAAGAATACAATTCGGCGTCGTGTTTCCAACCGCACTCGCTGTAAAGCGCGTTTAATTTTCAGATTATGTGGTAGTGTTGGATACAAAATCACGTCCTTCGAGGAACGCCATAATCACCCGATGCTCTCATAATTCTCGAGGCCATTTTTGAAAATCAATCGGAATATTGACATTGGACACAAAAAATTCATGCTGAATTGTGCCAAAGAAAATATCGGCACAATGAAATCATTTCGGTTGTTTAACGAGTCAGTTGGCAGTTATAATAATATAGGCTCCACAACAATTGATTTCAAGAACTTCAAACGAGACCTTAAGGTATATGTTGCTGGTGGAGATGCACAAATGATCATCGACAAAATATTTCGAAGACGAGAAACATGTCCTACATTTTGTTTCGCATATGATGTTGATGAAACCGACCAACTTACCCGATTATTTTGGTGCGATCCCGTTGCTAGAAAAAATTAGGCTCTGTTTGGTGATGTTCTCTCTTTCGACGCTACGTATGAGACTAACAGGTATGCTTACATGTATTCCTTTTTGTAACACCAATCATTTTTTGATAATGCACATTTTCATATCATTTTAACGCAACGGCTCTTTGTTTTTCAAAACGATAGGTACAACATGGTGTTCACTCCATTCACAGGTGTGGATAATCACCACAACTGTGTGACATTTGGAGCTAGTTTACTCTGCAACGAAGACATAGAATCTTATACTTGGGTCTTACGCCAATTTTAGGATGCAATGGACCATGATCCGCAATGCATCATAACAGATTAAGATCCGTCATTGAAGACTGCTATCAGCGAGGTTTTCCCACAGACTACACACCGGTATTGCATGTGGCATATTACTAAAAAAGTAGGAAAAAAGTGGGGGAACCTCTAAACAAGGATTCTGTCTTTCTCACAGAATTAAATGAAGTTATTTGGAGACATTATCTTGACCCCGTCGACTTTGAGCACAAGTAGAATTAGGTAATGCATAATTACAATCTGGTGAATCACAAATGGTTTGCTAAGTTGTTTAAAATTCGCCAAACATGGATCCCTGCATATTTTAGGGACTTATTCATGGCTGTTTTACTACGAACAACTTCACAATCTGAGAGGGAGAACAACTTTTTCGGGGAATTCTCTAACCCCCATTTCAGTCTTGTAGAGTTCTTGATGCAATTTGAAAGTGTCATGAATGCACAATGCCACAGGAATGCTATGTTAAATGCAGATTCCGAATCCTGCATTCCAGTATTCAAGACTCTATTACCAATTGAGAGGCATGTCGCTGCCATATATATGTTGTCAGTATTTTATGATGTGCAGAAAGAGATTTGTGCTGCTTGTTTCTCGTGTTTTAGCACACACATGGAGAACACTGATGATAAACTGCATTACACTATAAAGAACAATCGAGGTGTGAGGTTCTCAGTTATGTACTCCGCAGATACGTCATATGCATCCTGTTCGTGCAAGAATTATCAGCGTGTTAGGCTTCTCTGTAGGCATATATTTGTTGTTCTTATAGCAATGGGATGTCCGACTATTCCTGACAATTACATTACAAAGCGATGGTCTAAGAGTGACATTTCAAAACGTTCGCTAGGATCTATCTTGTGTGACTTTGAGGAGGATTCAAACCAAGAGAATACTAGATGGAAGATAAACTAGTTGTGGTTGAACATCCATGCATGTGTCGCACTTGTGGAGAATGATTCTGAGTTGTTAGATGCATTTAGCCAATTTATTAATGCACAGAAACAAAAGCTCGAGAGATTGGCTTATTCCGATGAAAAAGATTCTGAAAAGAACAAGATTTTTGAATCTTACTACGGCACACCGGCACCATCCGAGATTCGTGTTTTACCCCCCGAGAAAGTGCATAACAAGGGCAGTGGAAAGCGGATCAAAAGTGCCATGGAAATAAGCATTGAGCAGTCCAAGAAACAAAAGAGAGTATGCCGAACGTGCAAAGAAGTTGGTTACCGTGACAGTCGAAACTGCCCAATGAATAAAGAGCTTTGATGATCTTATTACTGGATGCTACATTATACAACTTTATTTTTTTAAATCTTAATGTAGTCTTTCATCTTCATGCACAACTCACCACTCTTAACATTTTTAAAAGTTTCACAACGCACTGACCCGTTATTACTATATCACATTTCACAATTCTCACTACATAGACCAGAATTTGCACATATGCACTTTAAAATCTTTTTAAATGATAATGAGACACCACGATTTGAAAAACACACTTTGTCACCCTGAAGTCTTGAAATACGTCACACATCATTGGTTTCATTCTCGGTTACGCAAGTATTCATTATATGTTATTTTTCCCTGAGGCGTACCATTCCTTTACAAAAACTTGACGAATGTACTATGCATTTCCGTACATGACACTCACCAACAAGCATCATCATATGTAATACATGTTGATGTATAAAAATGAAATCTGCAACTAACTTTATGTATTAGGTCACTGCTTAATGCATATACACCTTATGACATTACATATTTACCAAATAACTCGCTGAGTGTAATCAGTCTGTATGAATGTCTTATTCACCAAAATCAACCAATTATTAGATAGCCCTAAGTAAACAAATCACCAATTTCTACTAGCATGAACTCCACTGTTGCATTCAAAATAAAATACAAGGACATTGCAAGAACTATCAAGGGTAGTGCACAATTGAGGGCATTAAACATGTCATTCACTTAAAACAGATCATCTTAAAACCATCAACGCATGCATACGTCAATACATCCTTTGCACGTCATGTGAAGGAATGGCTCCTCCCCCAAAAAACAAATCAACCAAAAACCATAATACCCCAAGTTCTCAAAATACCAAAAAAAACACCCCGTGCAACAAAAATTCACGCAGAGCATCAGAATAGTTTTTCACTCAAGATTCGTCCCCTTAACCACCTTATCTTTCTTAAAAGACTCGTTTGCTAACATCTCCATCATCTCATTCACCTTGTGGAGTAAAATTACTGCACAGTACTTCTTACGCAGCACTAAAAGTGGCTTGTGGTTTAGATTCGACAGACCATAATCGCATCCCTTCGCACCCTCTCCCATGTAGGTCTCCATGTGACGCATTGTTGCCACCCCGTAATCATACACTTGCTTTGCATCCCTCCAAGGTAGCCCAATTCTTTTAGGATCAAGTTCACGTATACAGGCTGCCTTGTTTATAAATCCTTGTTGATCTAAGAAATTAGCCAACATCTTTAGCTATCAGAACGCAAAACGTATAGAAAGAAATTCAGGGAATTATCCAATTCAGCACATCATTAAATCCGGATCACGCATACTTACCACGAGGGATGGCATTTCTCCATATCTCTCCTCCTTCTTGGCTTGAACTGTCTAGAATGTCACACCTTCTCCCTTTCAGGTCCACACACAACACATAACACCAGTTTTTTTGCATTATGGGGAAAAAGAACTGCATTTTAGGGAAAACAATTATTATCACTTTATTAAAAACTATACCCATCCTAATATGCAGATCCAGATCCAATAAACATGTATAAACCATGCTTAATTATAGTTAGTTGCAACTAATTTTTGAAATCGCATCAATATGTCTTACCACTTCTAGTTTCCCCCAATTAAAGGTATCCTCTGCATCATCCCAAGCAGCTTTCATTGCATCCTTGAACATCATTCTCGTAGTTTCCAACGAATTATCTTCATGACCACCGTTCTCGACCTTCATATCATAGTTGTCAAAGTCAGTAAATTAAATGAATAGAATAACTTCCAAGTTGTAACATTTTAAAAGCGTCTTAACACTTACACAATTAAGTGTTTTTGCAAACAACCATAGTGGTGAGGTATTGCTTCGATACTTCTCACGAAGATTTAAAATCACACACCATGCATCCAACACCTTCTTTGAAATGTGTCTCATTATGTCCAGACTACAAATATCCTCTCTACTCAAACACAATTTCCTCCCTGTGAAAATCAAGAACAATGAAGATATAAACAGGTAGCTATTATATTTAGACACAAAAACGTCATTCGCCCCGTTTGTTAACATCATACCTTGGATCACTACTGTTTTTAAAGATCCATCTTCGCAATCTTTTCCACAGTACTCAAACCATCATTTAAGTCCACTACTCTTGTCACATACGAAGACCGTAGAGATTCGGCTAGTTTAATTACCCTAGCGGGTTTCTGCTGTTCATTGTGCTTTTCCACCTCGTAAATATCATTAATATAGCAGTTTCAGTACATATTCATATGGACTCAAATATTTAATGCCCATTTTAACACAATAAACATTACTCAGAATGCATAAAATAAATGAATCAGAGAACTATTACATTCACACTTCTCAAGGCTGGTGCCTCTCCCAAAACATTATCCATCATGCCTTGTTCATTTTGGTTCACCTGTGCATATATCCACTATCATTACATTCATTCATCAAAGTTAATATACAATATTCAAATGATACACATACTATTGATGCATCATCTCTTCCAATTTCCTCAGTGGCAGACCCTCTGCCAAATACTGCACCACCCACCTAAAATGCAAAAAAAAGTAGTCTACTGCACACATTCATAGGAAAAAAGGATGCATACGCGAAAATATTAATTAACCTATTACGTACCATATGCAAGTTAGTTTCAGGATCAATACACCCTCTAGGTTCACTCGAATCGTTGGCGAGTTGCTTATTCACATTATTGACTCCAACCACAGGGGTAAATGGACTGTTGCTGCAATTACCAACATCAACCACATGTTGGTCACCACTTGCTTGCCATTCACGATCTTGTGTGAAGCCAAGGCTAAAGGAGGGTATATCAGCCACCATCTGCTTGAACTTTGTAACGTCCAAAAACATACCCTAGAATTATTAATGAATAAATAATCAATTAATCAAATTTGTTTTGATTAAAATAAATTATTATTAAGCTTTGGGCCGATACAAAATTTGTTTTGACATCTAATATCAAAATCTGGATAAGTCTCATAGAGATAAATCCAATATGTGGACTATTTGTGTGGTCTTGATTGGGAACCTGAGTACAGACCCAAATCAAGAGTAAATAAAGAATTTGTTTAGAATGTAAATATTGAAATGATTTGTTGAAATAAATCATGAGAATAATTGATATGAATTAAATGAGAGAACCTTTTATGAGAAAGGTCAATTAAACCAATTTTGACTCTGTTAAAGTCAAACACCCAAAAATATGCTGTCAGAAAAAGTATTTCAAATAAATATAAAAATTATATCGTTGAACAGAGTTTGACTGTCCGATCGCAACGGTACAAACGGAATTCAATTCGGAGAAAGTTGGACCAAAAAGTGTACCCCGACTGGGACCAAATTAGTCCCAATCAGGGAAGTAACGTGGTGAATCGCCTAAAATCGCACCTCCTCCGAATGAAGACCGCGAATTGGAAGTCTACACAGCAACAACTCAGCTTCCATGTCTTCTTCCTCTCATCTCTACTATATAAACTCCCTAAAATTCACCATTTCTTCACCATTCTTGTTCAAATAAGTTCTGAGAGATAGTATTGAGTATAGAGAACGTTGTGGTGCTGTCAATTTGGTGAGAAGGCGCCGGAGTTGAGAGTAATCGTCGCCGGAAGTTTCGCCGGAAAATTTCCAAAACCTTTATTAAGTTTTGAGGTAAGCCCGTAGATATATCTAATGACTAGAACGTTCGTATAGATCGTTTTTACGTTCATAAATGGTCAATTGGTTGAGTTTTGTGTTTGACATGTTTGAAGAACCAAGAATCATAAACCTTGAAATTGTTGTTAAAACTTTGAATTAATGGTATTAAAATGATCTATGTACCTTGGAGAACATTTCTATGTAGTTTAATTGAAGTTTGGTGACTTAAAATGATGTTTCGAAAATTGGAACCGAGGTTGAAGACGAAGTACTATTGCTGTAAGGCAGCAACGGTCGACCGTACCGTCACCACGGTCGACCGTTACCAGACCAGTAGCTTCAGTACAACGGAGGCAACGACGGTCGACCGTCACCTAAAACGGTCGACCGTTCCGAACACAGTTAGCTACGAAAATGCTATTTTTGGGTTCTAAAATCCTACTTTTGATACCAATTGATTATGATTATTTTAAATATGATTTTGTACAATAAAAATGATGTTTTTGACATATAAACATTATGTGATGCATGATGGTAAGTACGGGTGTTAACACTCGAATCTAGGCCGCTATTTGTTAATAAATGTTATTATGACTATTATAATCAAACCTTGATAACATCCTGAATAAATGGTTATTATAATGGATAATGGAATATCATTGATAATAAATATTGATTATGATGATCAAATGGACGACCCGAGTAATTATGACTACATAACGATCATGATTTTATTATGACAAATAAAAATATATGGAATTCAACGAAAGAACCGTAAAGATGAAATTATGAATAGATATACTTGTTTGACTGTCTTGAACTAAATTATGATTATGAATTATTGAACCATAATTCAAAATGAATAAATTGATCAACAAGAAAATGATGTGTATTGTTAAGGATATCTAAAAGACTATAAGATATACCTATTAGCTAATTGATGTTAAGACTATCTAGAAGACCTCTAGAATAGATCTTAGGATGAACTTATGAAAACATAAATAGTTGATGAATTAGATAAAAATGCATAAACGGGATTCATGGACCAAGCTAGAGGATTACTTGTTTGGGAATACTCAATCCAATGTTGATCAATCGCTATATTGTTGTTGCCTTAACTGACTACAGTTAAGTGTCCGAAATCGATTGCCTTAAACTAATGATAGTTTAAGTGTCTGATTGCCTTAACTGACTACAGTTAAGTGTCTGAAATCAATTGCCTTAAACTAATGATAGTTTAAGTGTCTGATTAATAATTGCCTTTTAATGATCTGGTTATGAAAATTATGATTTGGCCTTAGACTAAGAATAGCTAAGAGCATTTTTATGATATGGCCTTAGACTAAGAATAGCTAAGAGCATTGTAGTTATTTGGCCTTAGATTTAAGAATAATTTAAGGGCACTGTCAGAATAATATCTGAATTGAATAAAATGTGTTGATATGAACTGAACATTATCAAAACTGTGAATGTCTGAAATGAACATTGTGTGCATGATATCAAATGATTTGATTATGAATTTAGATTCAGTTTATATGGATGTTCTACGCATTAGATATGCTTACTCAGCTTTACCGCTGAGCGTGTAGTATGTTTTATTTGCTACACGCAGGTAAGCAGAAAGCACAATGTGATCCTGGCGGCAGATGGGGCGAGATTGTCGGGATGGATGTGACAAGTTTTGAAACAATTTATGATATGTCAATATTAAAATCGCTTCCGCAATATTGTTGAATACTCCGTACTAGATATGTAATGAAAAATATTATTGAGATTAATAAAGTGTGTTTGAAAAGTTTTAAATTTTTACGATTACCAAGTTAAATACTCTAGTCCGAATGGGGCTGCAGACCTGGACGGATTAGGGTGTTACTGACTCCAACCACAGGGGTAAATGGACTGTTGCTGCAATTACCAACATCAACCACATGTTGGTCACCACTTGCTTGCAATTCACGATCTTGTGTGAAGCCAAGGCTAAAAGAGGGTATATCAGCCACCATCTGCTTGAACTTCCTCCACGCCAACTCTGCCTCCTCTGATGCAAACAACCTAGAGATATTTGCAGGATCGCTCCAAATGAACTCATCATAAACACTTCGGAAAATGAACATTCCACTGGCTGCACAACATCTTTTCGATTTTTATTCACTAATCCAAGTAAACTTCCAGCAACCATCTGCAATTCCACATAAACTTCGTTGTTCATCACCTCAGCTAGTGCACCCTCCATCAACGACACTAACTCCACGACAGTCTTCGCCAGCATCTTACCCTTTTCTGCAAACTTTTTAAGAAAAACCTTATGCATAATGAATCATAATATAAGAAAGTATGTGCATTACCTATAAAAATAAAGAGCTTGATCAGTGCATTTTCACTGTAATATCTAACTTTCTACCTTCAACACATCACCGTCTTCCTCTCCTATCTCATTCTGCTGAATGTCTTCTCCCCCAATCGAATCTTTCACTCCTCGAACCTCAACACGCTCTGCCCCATTTGCAGTCTTCTCCACTTTGTTTTTCTCAGCTTCAGATTTCTCACACACTTACCTTCCATCGTCAAATCCCAAACCAAACCCACCAGCCTTCACTTCTTTGTTCTCCCTATCCCTAAGAATCTTTGATGTCTAGCCAACAAAAGCAGGTGTTGTCCTCTCCACATCCCTATTATAAAGAACAACCCTATCGACATAGAACACCTACAATATAGAGAAAAAAATTAGCAAATGTAAAACAAATACAATACAATACTATATATATATATATATATATATATATATATATATATATATATATATATATATATATATATATATATATATATATATATATATATATGGATTATATTGCATCTGAACCATACCATCAGAAACATCAATGCTCCTGTGAAGTATTGACTCTTTCCATCCTCCCATCCGATTGCACTGTCTATCAATGTCCTGTGCACGTAATCACACCAATTCAATCTCACTACGGAATCAATGTTTGCTATGTTCTTCAACATAGCAGGGTTAACGTAACCATGGCTTGGAGTATCTACAAGAAGTGCCACTACCAACAACACAAAATGGCGAACAAACCACACCGCACCCTCCTAATGTGTCAACAAATTTTGACCCAGCTCCAACGGGGTTATCCTATTATCCTTCTTGCCAAATTCTGCTCTCCACTCCTCAACCAAGCAACATTTCTCACTCCTTGCTTTGTTACTTATCTTTATATTTCCCCTTGGCAAGCCCATCACATGCTCAACATCTTCTACGCTGATATGCACTCTGATATCCTTTAAGAGCTCAAGTGTGCTGCTCCTTGGATTAAAATTCTTTACTACCCAATACCCCAATTTCGTAGGTAGCTCTGTCAAGTTTAACCTTAAAATAGAACCGAAGCCAATCTTTTCTATCTCCTGCTTTTGGATGTTATTCAGAGCATTCAACACTCCCTGCAACACATGTGGTGAAGATCTCATCTTTATGCGCATGTACTTTTCCTTCATCTTCCGAAGCCCGTCCTTTTTTTCACCAGTGTTGCAGCTTTTGGGTTCACAGGTTGAGGGATGTCCACACTGGTATTCTTGTTTGGGGGATCCTCAAAATCATCGTCACTATCAGAACTATCCACCTCATTGTTCAGCATCATTTCCAGCACACTCCATATCATCCTCGGCATCTTTAGCCTCTTTCTCCACATCATCACCATCTTTTGATCCAACATCTTTTTCTTCACTTAAATCCACATGTTCAGCATCCCGCTTTTGTCTCTTCTTGAGTTGTTCCAGAATCAACCTACCACTTCTATGTACGGGAGATGCACTTTCAATAACTTCTCGTCTCCTTTTCAAGACAAACACATAAGCAGCACGTACATTTGACTATGGTGAGCTTACATTTCACATGCAAGATTAAGTATTACATATATATGTACTGAATTTTCAACAAAGTGAGCAACAACTTAACATGAAATACATATGCATAAATTTTCCCCCACCAACTGAAACAAAAATCTTAATGAAATCTTTTGTGAAATTCAACACAATATGCTATCATATTAAACTAGCTACTTTTTAACAAATCAAAAAAATAGGTAATTAACATGATGCTATACTCTCTACAAATGATGCTATTTCAGATCATTACTATGTACCATAACCATGAAAAACCATGAAATTAAACAAGGAGTTTGAGAATACTTATCATGCATAGTGTTCATTGATAGAAATATAACCGACACATCTACAAACACTTCCTGATTTACAATTACACACATTTCCTACAGGTAAGACCTAATATGATCACATATTCAACCACATATGAATTACTAAAGTAAAACTGGATATACACTATGCATCAAAACATGAAATATAATGCACTCTTAGGTTAGTATGATGTACATGTCTTTATTCATTGTTCATTTCAAGCAAAACAAATAATGTCTGACAACATTGCATATTAGAAAAAAGAACTAACACATCTCCAAAATATGCAATTTCAGTACATTATAATGTTTGTATACTAACTTCAAAAGATGCAATATCACTTCACCAAAATGTACCATAACTCTTAAATTAAACCCCGAGTCTGAGAATACGTAATGACGCACAGTGTTCCATGATAGAAATATAACCAACATATCTTCAAACACTTCTTGCTTCTCAATTACACACAGTCCATTATAACCATTATAATGCTGAGATATACAAATTCAAGGAATCAAAAAGAAAAAAATAATCAAATTCAAAATGCAAAGACATACCATATAAATGACCCAATAGAGTTGAAATTTCACACCTAAAACAAGTTACAGAATAAAGCATCATCCATGAATGACTCGTAATCAAGAAAACTCAAATGCACCAAAATAAACATAATGAATTCAAGACCTAGTACACTTACTTATTCAACGACCTATGAACTACTGATGAATAACTGAATCTACCTTATGTAACAAATGATGTAATAAAATGCACACTCACCCTAGTATGATGTACAATGCCACTATTCTTTGTTCATTTGAAGCAGAACAAAAATTGTATGACAACATTGCATAATACAAAAACAACTAACACATCTACAAACATATCACGATGCACAAGAACAAATAAATCATTGGTAAAATAAAACCTCCTGAAAATTATTGTCACCAGAAAAATAAGCAAAATAACTTCCCTATAATGCGTACACACACAGAGGCACCAAATCATAACAAAAAACTAATGAAATTACAAGTGCAATGTAATACCATACAATAAAAAAACACATCATGCATCTACCCAAAAGCCTAATGCAACAATAGTGATACAGATATCACCAAAGACAATTGCACGCATATTCAACTTCACATCTATAAAACACTTCATTACGCACAATTATTACATATACTCCAAGCATGTTAACACAACTAATATGCAGTCTGAAATCATTTTCCGATGCAGTAGAACTACAATGCCCAGCCCCCATAACAAGTATTTAATCAAATTAACAACTCTGCACTAATTTGCAATAAAAAAGGGCCACAAACACATATTACTTGAATATTCTTCTCATTTTAACACCAAATCACCAAATGAGCATAATAATTAGTACGAACACATATATACTCAGACCCAATAAACAATTGTTATGCCAGAACAAATCCCTAACCCAAAATTTCAATTTCTATTCCATAAAACACAAGAGTATTACACTTTTTAGATAAAATGAACCATATTACCACTCTACTTGATATGTGAAAACCAAACCTTAATGCACTAAAAAAAACCCACTACAGATGCACCCACAATTTGCAAAGAGGAATGTCGAAGATGCATTTATCAACGACATGCAATAAAACCAAAACACCTAATCTAAGAGACCCCTTTCGAAAAAAAGAGATACCTTCCTATGCTACTGCTGAATTTCCCGTAGTAGTCATGACTAAGAATGAAATTTCTATCAACCACCTGCTTCACAAGGTCTCCTTCTTCTTGCGGCGTGCACTGTGCGATTCTCTCACTTACCAATGTCACTCTGAACGAATTTCTTGAAGAATGCAGTGCCGGCTGAGAAAGGGTTATGGAAGAATGCAAAAGACTTCTATTCAAGGCAAATGCGTAAGTGGCGGGAGATTAAAGATCTTCACCTTTTACGCCTTTTAATGTACTTCTTCAATTCCAGAAATGCCCGTCCACGTGTCTATCGCATTTTTCATACCGCAATAACAATTTTCCTTTCCTTTTAAAAAATTCTTTTTTGTGCATATTGGAGACCGCACGATGGAGTTAATCTAATGGATCTAGTTCATTCTCATTTCTTTCACAACAACTTATTCTCACTTGATCCCCCTATATATATATATATATATATATATATATATATGTATGTATGTATGTATTAATGTATGTATATATGTATGTATGTATGTATGTATGTATGTATGTATGTATGTATGGGGACATAATTTGCAGTCTGGCTTTTTGTTGTCTTGTATTTATTTTCTAGCATATGGGGCAATTTGCAAAAAAAATGTATGTATGTATGTATAAGGTCAAAGTGTCTAATTGTTCGATAAAAAAGTCTAACTTTTGAAAAATGAAGTATGAAGGAGTATCTGAATATATACTCCGTAATTAACATGCTCAAGTTCTAAAATAAAATTTAAAATTTAAAATTACATGAATACAATTGTGCACACAATTCTTATATGTTTACTGAAAAGGCATTATCTATTCTTAGTTTAGTTGATTTCATGTAAAATCTTTTTCAAGTCTTATGGATTTCAGATATATATATCTATGTATGTGTGTGTGTATATATATATATATATATGTATCTATATATATGTATGTATGTATGTATGTATGTATGTATACACACACACACACATATATATACATGTATATATATGTGTGTGTGTGTCTATATAAATATAAATATAATATATATATATATAGGGATTGACTCCAGTGAGATGACACCTTACGGTGCGATAACATGCTTCGGTCAAATGACGCAAAGCTCACCACACTACACTACAAAGCTCACCAATGGATAATGCAAAGCTCACCTGCAAATAAAGAAAAGCTCACCACTTTGAATCCCAAAACTCACATTTTTTTAATTTTGAAAATTAAAAAGTTAATTAAAAATAAAATAGCAAAACCGGTCAACAGCGTCCGCCGGCGACCGGAGTATGGCGGAGGCGACCGGAGACCCGAGTATGGCGGCGGCGGCGACCGGAGACCGGCGGCGGCGGCGACTGGCGACTGGCGGCGCAGGCGGCGGTCAATGCTGTTGTCAACGGTCAAAGTCTAGTCAGCACCCCTTCCTTTGATTTTATTTTTTCCAAAAAAAATTCAGAGTGTTGAAAAAAATATGGTGAGCTTTGCCTTACAGTTTGGTGAGCTTTGTAGTTGTGCTTGGTGAGCTTTGCGTCATCTGACCGAAATATGTCATCGCACCATAAGTTGTCATCTCACTGGAGTCAATCCTATATATATATATATATATATATATATATATATATATATATATATATATATATATATATATATATATATATATATATATATATATATATATATATATATATATATATATATATAT